GCCCAGTGTCCCGTCATGCCACATTTGTAACAAGTCGTCTTCACCGAGGTTTTTGTAGGGCGATTTGTTTGATGGGCTTTTTGTTTGCCCTTGCCCTTGTAATTTGGTCTTTCGACCCGTTTATATCCTCGGTGGGACTTGTTATTATGACCACTAAAATTCCCACGTTTAAAATGCCTTCGTGTGCCACTGTGTGTTGCGTTTGATTCAGTGGCAATGTTATGTCCAGATGGACCATAAATCGAAGGACTAGAACCAGTGGGTCTCAGATTATGATTTTTCATCAAAAGGTCATTATTTTGCTCAGCGACCAATAAAACTGATATAAGGTCGGAGTATTTCTTAAAACCCTTTTCTCTGTGTTGCTGCTGTAGCAGCATATTAGAAATATGCATTGTAGAAAAGGTTTTCTCCAACATGTCAGCATCAGTGACTTTTTGTCCACATAACTTTAGTTTGGATGTTATTTGGAACATAGCAGAATTATAGTCACTGATAGATTTAAAGTCCTGGAATCTTAGATTGATCCAGTCATATTGAGCTTTAGGCAAAAGGACATTTTGCTGGTGGCCATACCTCTCCTGTAAATTGTCCCATAATTCTTTTGGGTCATCAACCAAAAGATATTCAGATTTGAGACTTTCATGGAGATGATGACGGAGGAAAATAATAGCTTTCGCTTTGTCTTGGACAGATGACGGCTTATTTGCCTCAATAGTGTCTTCAAGACCATTAGCCTTCAAATGTGCTAAAGCATCAACTTTCCATTCCAGGTATTTTTGTCCAGACAGATCAAGAACATCGAATTCTCTTTTGCTTATGTTTGCCATAGTACTACAAATTATTGGTTTTAAAATTAATTAGTAAAATTGTAAATAAGAACAGTATTTGTTCCGTAACAGCTAATAAATGTATCAATTCATATCAATTAAATTGAATCATGTTTTAATTTAGAAATTTGAGTAATACGGAGTAACTTTTATTCTATTTGTTTAAATATAGATGAATCTGTAAGGCAAAGGCATTTGTAATCATATACTCCATACTATCATGTACGTATTATTAGTCTTCCAAGTATTACCCTTTTAATCAACTTTATGCATTCATTTGGATCAAAATAGAGTTAATTATCAAAATAGGACTAAAAGTCATTCACTTTGCACAAATAGGACCAAAAAATAAACTATGTTTCCATAGGACTAATTATGTTTGTCTTGGACAAATATACCCTTATACCTATTGGAATGTTTTAATTCATAATAAAATAATAAAAAATAATAAAAATTCGTAAAATATACCAAAAAATTAATAAAAATATTTTGAATAATAATAAATTTAAAAAAAAATTAAAAAAAATAAAAAAAAATAAAAAAAATGATCATCAGGCCTTCTAAGACCAAAATTGCAACTGAATCACCTGCATTTTTAGAAAGGATTCAAGGAGATATTTGTGGGCCGATAGCCCCGCCATGTGGACCATTTCAATATTTTATGGTGTTGATTGATGCTTCAACACGTTGGTCACATGTTAGTCTTTTATCGACTAGAAATTTAGCATTTGCTAAACTCCTTGCTCAAATTATACGATTAAGAGCTCATTTTCCGGATCATTCTATACAGAGAATCCGACTTGATAATGCAGGAGAATTTACTTCCCAATCATTTAACGACTATTGTATGTCGATTGGGATTGATGTGGAGCACCCTGTTGCTCATGTCCATACACAAAATGGTCTTGCTGAATCTTTGATTAAACGGTTACAATTAATCGCTAGACCATTATTAATGAAGTGTAATTTACCTTCATCAGCTTGGAGACATGCTATTTTGCATACAGCAAATTTAATTCGGCTTAGAGCGACTGCATATCATGAATATTCCCCAATGCAATTAGTTACTGGACAAGAGCCAAACTTAGCACACATAAAAATATTTGGTTGTGCTGTTTATGTTCCGATTGCTCCACCTCATCGTACAAAAATGGGTCCTCAAAGAAGGTTGGGAATTTACGTTGGATTTGAATCTCCCTCAATAATCAAATATCTTGAACCGATGACTGGTGACTTATTCACCGCACGGTTCGCTGACTGTCATTTCAATGAGACAGTATTCCCAGCCTTAGGGGGAGAAACTAATAAATCGGACCCAAGTACGAAAGAAATAACATGGAATGCAACAGGATTATCACGCCTTGATTCTAGATCAAATATATGTGAGCAAGAGGTGCAAAAGATAACCCATTTACAAAATGTTGCAAATCAGTTGCCTGATGCATTCACAGACACAAAGAAAGTGACAAAGTCACATATTCCTGCTATGAATGCCCCTGCCAGAATTGAAATTCCAGCGGAGAATTCTGAAAAATCTCTTGCAAATGATTCTTCTATACGCAAAAAGCGTGGCAGGCCACTTGGATCAAAAGACATAAAACCAAGAAAAACTAAAAGGCAGGAATTGATCTGTGATGCCAAAGATGTTCATCCTTCTGAACAAGAACATGAACAATTTGAAAATACTGGCATAGAAAACGATATTGACAAAACAAACATCTCAAATAATGATTCAACTTCCTTAAATGAGGAAGATATTCCAGATACTGATAGAAACGTTGATAATTATGAAATTTCAATAAATTACGTTTCTACTGGAATGCAATGGAATCGAAAAGATATTGATATTAATGAGATATTTGTCTATGTCGTTGCCACAAATGTTATGAATGAAAACAATGACAATGAGCCAACATCAGTAGAAGAATGTCGGAAACGACACGATTGGCCAAAATGGAATGAAGCTATTCAGGCTGAATTAAAATCACTTGAAAAACGTGATGTTTTTGGACCGATAGTCCCTACGCCAAAAGGCGTAAAACCTGTGGGTTTTAAATGGGTATTTGTGCGTAAACGCAATGAAAAGAATGAAATTGTTAGATATAAAGCCCGACTTGTTGCCCAAGGTTTTTCTCAAATGCCGGGGATTGATTATGAAGAAACCTATTCTCCAGTAGTGGATGCAACTACATTAAGGTTTCTCATTGGCATGTCTGTTTTTGAAAGGCTGCAAATGCGCATAATGGATGTAGTGACCGCATATTTATACGGTTCACTTGATACAGATATTTATATGAAAGTTCCCGGTGGATTTAAAATGCCTGAAGCTTATAGCTCGGAACCTCGAGACATGTTTTCCATTAAATTACAAAAGTCATTGTATGGACTAAAACAATCTGGACGAATGTGGTATAATCGTCTCAGTGAATACCTTCTCAAAGAAGGATATAAGAATGACCCAATTAGTCCATGTGTTTTCATTCGGCGATCAAATTCTGGATTCACCATAATTGCAGTATATGTTGATGACTTAAACATTATTGGAACTCCCGATGAAATTGAAAATACTGCAAAATATCTTATGAAATAATTTGAAATGAAAGATCTCGGGAGAACCAAATTTTGTCTCGGGCTTCAATTTGAGCATTTGAAGAATGGAATTTTCATCCACCAATCCAATTACACCGAGAAAGTGTTGAAGAGATTCTATATGGACAAAGCTCATCCTTTGACTTCACCAATGGTCATTCGATCTCTCAACATACACGATGATCCATTCCGTCCCCGAGAAGACGACGAAGAAATACTCGGTCCCGAAGTACCATATCTCAGTGCTATCGGAGCTTTAATGTATTTAGCTAATAATACTAGACCAGATATTGCATTTTCAGTAAATTTATTAGCTAGGTACAACTCATGTCCAACAAGACGTCACTGGAACGGGATCAAGCACATATTCCGTTATCTCCGTGGTACAGTTGATCTCGACCTATTCTACCACAAAGATGCAAAGACTTCTTTAATCAGATATGCAGACGCTGGATACCTATCAGATCCTCAAAAGACAAAATCACAAACCGGGTACGTATTTACTTATGGTAATACCGCAATCTCGTGGAGATCTATGAAACAGACGTTGACAGCTACATCATCAAATCATTCGGAGTTAATTGCACTTTATGAAACCGGGAGGGAATGCGTGTGGCTGCGATCTATGATTCAACACATCCAAAATGAATGCGGTATAAAGCCTATTACTTGTCACCCGACTGTGATCCATGAAGACAACACCGCATGCATAGCTCAAATTAAAGAGGGCTATATCAAAGGAGACAGAACAAAACACATATCACCAAAATTCTTCTCTACTCATGATCTGGAGAAAGATGGGACGATCAACATTCAACAAATCAGATCAAGTGAAAATCCAGCCGATCTCTTCACCAAATCTTTACCCCCGAAGAAGTTCACAGAACTTGTACAAAAAATCGGCATGCACCGCCTTCAAAATTTATGTTAATTTCAGGGGGAGTATTTGAATGCACTGCACTCTTTTTCCCTTCATCAGGTTTTTATCCCACTGGGTTTTTCCTGATAAGGTTTTTAACGAGACAGTACATCCAAATACAACGACATTACATGTCGTAATCTTTACCCCTTAACTTTCACACTAATTTTTCATAATAACAAAATAACTATTAAAGGATGAACATTCAAGGGGGGGTGTTGTAAAATCCTGGGAATAACATGTGTGTGAATTATTCATCCTTGTAAGCAGCATACTCATTAGGACACCAAGCTTTTCCTGATCCTTGTAATGATCCTTGTAACCTAGTTAGAACAGGTGGTTTAATATGCTATTGCCACCAAATCTGTAGACTCATCAAATAAGTGACTCATCATCAAGCTCAACCATTATAAATAGTGGCTTGATGAGGTCTTGTAAATTAATTCAAGCAATTCACATACTCAGAAAATCTCAGATATTAAGAAGAAGTAATTTAGAGGTTTTTATCTATATATCTATCTCTTTATTTAAGTCTTCATCTTCTTCATTTCACAACAGCAATATGATTTTTTTTTTTTGGAAAATAAAAAATTGAAAAAATAAAAATAGAAACTGAAAAATGAAAAACAGAAACCCACATGTGCACCGTAAGATGATGATGATGATGATCCGAGTGACCAGGTCAAAAACGTCAAACATTTTCTACGGAGTATATTAATTTGGAAAAGTGTTGGCAGCCGACATTTGCTATTCTCCATCATCATTTGACTTTGGCCTGCACGTTGTCATTTATTCAGAATTATTCCTTCATTCCGTCTACAATTTTTGGTTGGGTGATATCATCACAATCATCATAAGAGAAAACGCCATAGCTGGAGGAAGGAGAAAAAAGACAGATGGCCGGAGAAAGGGTAGTGGGAGTGGCGGTGGATTTTTCAGCGTGCAGCAAAAAAGCTCTGAAATGGGCGGTTGAGAATTTACTCCGGAAAGGGGATCACCTTGTTCTCGTCACTGTTCGTCCTCAAGGCCACTACGAGGAAGGCGAGATGCAGCTCTGGGAAACCACCGGTTCTCGTATGATCTCCTCTTCTATCTCCCTGTATTTTTTCTTAGGCGATGCATCTAGTGTTTTTGTCTATTCATACGTCTTCGTTGTGAAATTGAAAAAGGAATACACGATGCTTGTGATGGCAGCTTCTGATTATATGCTCAAATTCGGCAAATCACTTACTAGTTTATTAATTAAGGTATTCCGGCCCAATAATGGAAGGTTCAGGTCGTCATCATGACATCATCATCAGTATTTTGGTTTTGCATTTGATTGTGTTTCTTGTTGGAATAATCTTTAGTCTTTACAGTTTGCTTTTCTATCGTGATTCTTAGATCAGAGATTTAAGGTTTCACCCTAATGTTATCCCATTGAGGATGACCATGTTTGAAAATGCTTACAATTGTGTAAATTAATGATTCACTTTTGAAGCAGCTTGTTTATGTTTTTTGTTTTTGGTGCAAAATCTAGTGGTCTGGGTTATCCAATCTCAATACATAATATCACATCCTAATGGGCGATTACCAATTTTTTTTATCTCTCATTAGTTCATTGATTTACCCCTTAAAGGTTTTAAGATAACGATTTTCTGTCATAATAATCCTGATATATCATCATAGAAGTAACTTCTTTTAGACACTTAAATGGTTTTTGGTGAAATGGCTAGAGCTTTGAATAAATAGCAATTTGTAATACTGTTTTGTATATTGAGGTGATGAAATCATGATAGGCACATGTCACATCCCTCTAATTGGAATCTTAGGTTTTTCCTAATTCATCTTTTTTCTGCACAAAAATATTCAGCTCTGATTCCTATAGCGGAATTGACGGATAGTCATATTATGAACAAATATGGAGTCAGTCCAGATGCAGAAACACTGGACATTGTGACTACTGCAGCCAGGCAGAAAGAGGTTTTTTCTCGTCTCCCATCTCCTATCTTCTTATACTCATGATGCTATTTTGACTATATGTTGTTTTCTATAAAAAACAGATTGTTGTTGTGATGAAGATATTTTGGGGTGATGCCAGGGAGAAGCTATGTGAAGCAGTGGATAAAGTTTATTTGAGCTGTCTTGTTGTTGGGAATAGAGGACTTGGCACACTCAAGAGGTTTGTGAACGTTTTATTTCCTTTAAATTACAAGGGATTTCATGTTTTTCACCTTTGCAGCCACCATTTGTTACGATACTATGTTTGGGTTTCAGCTAAATGCAAACAAATAAGCAGTGTTTTCTTTTTGTGTTTTGAAGAAAATTTAAAAGCAAATGAACAGTGTGTCTTCAATACTTGTTTGTTGTGTTTGTCCCAGTGTTGTTCGAAAACTAGGTGGTATCCATCATTCCATCAAGTAGTACGAAGTATAATATTTCTGATTACCATAATCTAAGGAAACAATCATCATACATCCTGGTAATAACTCTAATAAAACAAAGAAGGTTTTACAAAATCCTTATGAATTGCATTCCAAGGAGAGACACATCGAGTAAACAACAAGTAAGTCACAAACTACTTATTGTATTTATTCTGCTTTGGAGTAGAATACGAATAAGCTTGTTTAAGCTAAAACAGGCCTCCAAAAGGAGCATAAGTTTCATGAAGGCTTTCAGAAATCTTGTGTGAGCAGTTTAGAACCAATGATGAAACGATACATCGAAATTTATGTACTTTTAGCCTTTGAGGTCCCGCATATCTATATAAGGGTAGTGAACTTTCTCTCGAATATCTGAGATAACTAAGACGGAGCCTTAGCATATTGTTTAAGGTGTTTTGATGTGCCCTCTCAGTCGCATGTTTAAGTCTTGAGATCAGCCTCTTGTGAAAATGGCAAGGGAATGTTTGCTCCCTACACAGTACACACCCTTGAGATCTCTACTTACAGAGTTTCAGCCTTACTAAATATCTTAGATAACTCAGAAAGTGTCAATAAATATTGCAAATAATTAAAATAGTTCAAGAGAAATATGTGGATCATCAAAAGATGTGTTTGAAAAGTGGTAATCTCATTAATCTAAAAAAACATTAAAATCATACTCCGTAGCTTTTTCCCTATTTTTTTACATCAATACATGCATATAAATTACCAATTTGGATACAGATACTGCTATTCTTGAACAAAACCAATCCATTTAGAGTAGTCTGGTTTCTATTACAAATTCAGTCAGTATAAAGTTCATGAAGCAACAACAAATACTCCACCAATATTCTGCCATGGAAAAAAAATAACTGGAAATGTTCTTATGTTTTGCCATTGCAGGGCTATCATGGGTAGCGTCAGTAACTATGTGGTGAATAATGCTTCTTGCCCAGTTACCATTGTGAAGGGTTCTGTGAATGAATAACTCCTGGCTGGCGGACTGACCGTCTTCTGTTGTATCCATATCTATATACCTTCACTAATACGGAGTACTAAATACAGTGACCTCTTGTTTGCTCTGTTAAAATATCTGTTTGTTTGTCAAATATATGTAATCATTCGGTCAAGTGGCTGTTTTTGTTGGTCATGTTTGTATATTGGAGATTGAGATTGTTGCCCCATTAATAAAAATTGAATATCAGCATTAGTATGGCATTTTTTCTTTAGGGGTGTTTGAAGTTGATTTTGCTTCTGTTTTTGTTTCTTTTTTAAAAATAGAAGCAAAAGCAGAATCAGTTTTTCAGAATGGGTTGGCTGGCTCTTAACGGTCAGAGCTCGTTCTTTTAATAAAATTACTCCGTAATTAATTATGAACTCGTTTGGTATGGTATAATGGTATGGTATAATGGTCGAATTTAAAATGTAAGACCGGACTTAAACAAGAGTGAAATAGACATAATATCGAAGTGAAAACATTCTAAAACCCATACAACACACTCTTTTAATATTCAAATACGTTCTTTTATAGTTTATACATATACTCCCTGACTGCAGGGAGACGAGACCCTTCAGTCTTCCATGACTGCAAATCCATATAAGTTACCTATCATAATTATTTTATATTTTTGTGCTGATAAAGAAACCCCATAAGGCCATAACCGTAAGTCAAGAACCCAATATCATCATGGGGCTCTGACTCTATCATCACAAACACAAATAAAATCTCTTCAAATGACTTTTGTGAAGCTTGCACGTTTTTCGTATTTGTCACATACTCCACAAGTCAAGAGCACCATGGAGTACTTTTTTTATTGTTTCTATTTATTTATTTATTTATTTATTTAGATTGATCATTTTTTATTTTTTTCACTATTTATACCGTGGGATCGACCCACCATGCGCACGGTGTGCCGATCCCAAACGATGTCGCTTTATTAACAAAAAAGAACAATGTCGATCGATCGCAAGTGCTAGAGGACTGACGGGCATGAGTGCATGTAAGCTTTCTTCTTCTTCTTCTCCTCCTTCTCCTCCTCCTTCTTCTCTTTCCCCCTTCTTTTCCTTTCTTCTTTCTAATTAACGAATGATATTTTGAAATTTCAAGCTCTCAAGGAAGGGAGGAGATGAATGAATGTGTTGTTTCAGGAAGATTTAAGCATAGCTCTTTTAAAATTGAAAGCAATTTTTTTTATTTGATTTAACATCTATAGGGTTGTGTATTATTAAAATTCAGATTAATATGGATTTTCCCATTCTGGTGGACGTTGATTTCACAAGTTACATCTACTTGTTTCCGAGTTACATTTGAGTAGGTTAAAGTTACATCTCACAAGTTAATTTGAATCGAAGCAGTTTACATTTCAATGAGTTACATTTTGTTGAGGAAAATACGACTCCGACCTCTTCCAGAATCACAAGCTCAAGGGACTTTTGTATACTCACCCACCCACTCGTAACATAAAGACTCAATCTAACAATATCACTTTGTATTATACAATTGATCGAAATGTACAAGAGATATTTTACAAGTAAACAGGTAGCTCACATCACTCTTTGTGTATGAGATTACTTCACTCTCACACCCCTCTCTTAAGGAGGCACTCGCTCAATTCTAGGGATGACATTTTAAACCGAAAAACCGAAAACTGAACCGAAAAAACCGAACCGAACAATAAAAAAACGAACCGAAACCGAACCAACTAAAACGGGACCCGAAAGTCGGGACCCGAAAATTAATCGGTTTGAAGTCGATTTATGGAGGTTTAAAATCAGTTCAAACCGAACCGACTCTTATTAAATGTTACTACGTATTTATTTTTATTTTCTGCGACTAGTTACGTAATATATACGAAGTATCTTACAAGTACACATATTTGGGGAAGAGACTTCCATAGTTCCACTCCACCCTTATAAAACTTTTCGCCCACCAGTGTTCGATTCACATCTCTGCACCTTCCTTTATCATTTTTCTCAGGCTTCGAAACTTTCCCCACACCGGATGAAACGGAACATGTACTCCTCCTATCTCCATATGTAAGCAGCCCCTTGGGTTGAGAATTGACTTGGGTGGCCAATGCTCTGCTTCAGAGCCACTCGTTAGTTAATATTTCAAAATTCAGTTCGGTTTTTCATGAAATCGAAAAACTGACCCGAAGATACGGTATCTGAAATTTCGGGTTCCAATAATTTTTGGTTCGGTTATGGGTTGTAGAATTCGAGTAACTAAATTTTTGGTTCGGTTCAGATTTTCCTATTTCTGTTTGGTGCCTGAATCAAATCCACCCCTATTTAATTCAGAGCTCCCATCAACGTTCTCTCTCATCACTTGATGATGTTCTCTCTCTAGGCTCTCTTATGCTCACACCCAAAGCTTTTCTAGAATTTTCTATACTTCACTACATTTCTTGAGTCTTCCAAGAAGTATCCACAAATTTATCCAATCTTCTAGAAGGGTCCAGAGGACTCCACGTTTCTTTAGAAAGTTCTAGAGATTATAAATAATGCAATTTTCTTAGCTAAGGCTAGGGATGAACCTCTATGCACACTAGGTGTTTGATAAAAGTTCTAAACCAATAAATTGTGATAAATCCTTTATATTTTGATTGTTTATGACTATGGTGTACAACATAGAAGTATGTTAAATTTAGTTTATGCTTACAATTAACGTTGAAGTTTAAACTATGAACATTAAAGGATAAACATATATAGTACCGAGAATAGAAATATATCCGGTCTTATATGATACGGATGTGATGTCTTGATATTCAACGGAGTTTTCGGTAGATGAATGTAAGCCGTAATGGGACTTACACGTAACGAAAATCACGCTCTCGCTGCCTTAACCGGAGTTGAGAATATGTTAGCGATATCGTATTCATAATTATTGGGAAAGAACTATTATTAAATAACTATTAAAGCATTTAGGTGAATCCTGATTGCCTTAGTAATTCTCATTCTTGTTTAAACCAATCTCAAAGAACAAAGTTCCTGAAAAATTATACCATTTATATTCTTTGCATTCAATATTCGACTTTATAATATCAACCATTTCCCTTTGGATCGACCCGGTATTTACCGGTATTTTATTACTAGGGGCACTTGTACACTTGCAAGTTCAAATCGATCAGTAATTTAAATTTGCATTCCATTTTATTGTTCAAATTAGACTTGGCACTCCGTTTTTTAAAATGCACATCCTTAACAATTTATTGACCTTCAACATATTCCTAATTGAGGGACATTTTTGTCTTTTCACACGGGATTGGGGTGCAATTATTAACATCTCTAAAACCGGAGTGCAAAATTCAATTTTTACAATAAAATGGGGCATAAACTCAATGTCAAATAAATCAACCAATGACACTCAATAGACTGCCGACTACAGATGGCAATTTCGGCCGACCCATCGGATACCCGCATCGAACCGATTTGGTCAAAATGGGGAAAACCGGTTTGACTGGGGAACGGGTACAGAGCGGGGAATACCCGATTTTTTTAAATGGATAATGGTGCGGTTATGGCTCTATACTAATCCGCCCCGAAACCACCCCGTTCACTAATGATGCGGGTACCCGCGCCGTTACCCGATCCGTAACATTATTAATAAATTCTAACTCTTTATATATAAGAGTAATAATAAGTATATGTGCTAAATTTTGTACACTAAGTAGTATATGTTATGTAAGTATATAAAAATAATATACTAGAGGCTCAAAACTTTTTCACGAAGGATTACTACTTTTTGAAGTGTTAAATATTAATGTGATGGTGTAATGAATTTAAGCCTAATTAAAACTGTTTTTTGCGAAGGATTACAATTTTTTTAGGCGAAAACTAAATTTAGGGCCTAAACATGTTTTTTGAATTTAGATTCTGGGATGATTACTACTTTTTTATTATGTTACAAGAGATATTTGATGCTTATCATACTAATGAATTTAGGAGTAAAACTACGTGATTGCTTGAATATTTACTTTTTTTTTATGTTTTATGATCCTTTGAATATACTACATACTTGTATAATTTACTAGGAAGGATGTTTACATTCTAAAGGAGGGTGTTTACATCAACAAGTAGGATTATAAATTGGAAATTTTGGTATCATTTAGGCAAACGATTACCCATGAATAAATCAATTCCCCGACGCCCCGACGGGTACAGTTCAAATAGAAATTACCCGGGAACGGGGCAGGTTTGGGGGCAAGCTTTTAACTAACAGGGCGGTTTTAGTTTTACTTGTGTAGTCGTGTACCCGAACCCGATCCGCGTCATCCCTACTGTCGACTGCCGGTGCCTGAGCTCAGTCGACTGTTGTCCTTGCACTCTTCTTGGTCGATCTGCAGACAGGGGCGGAGGGGTGGCCCAGTGCAAAAATAAGGCTGGTCCAGTGTAGCAAACTGTCTGGCCGTAATCTAAAGCAAAGAAGCGCAACAGCCAATCGACAGAGATAACATCCGACGCATCACGCACCTGGCGCACAGAGACTGCAACGCCGATTCGTCGGACGTCGCCGCTCATCGCTCGCTTGCTCCGTCGCTCTCATCGCTGGAGGTCGGACACGCATGGACGCCCCTCTGCTGCTCGTCGTCTGCTCCTGCCCGTCACTAGACTGCTGTCGTCTTCTCTAGAGCCTTGAGGACTCCAATCTGCTGCTGCTCGTCTGCGCCTACTGCTCGTCTGCGCCGGCTGCTCGTCTGCGCCGGCTGCTCGTCTCTTAAGCCAAGATAACTAGGTAAGAGTTTCTGTTTTTTGGTTTTACAATTTTTAGTTTACTCAATCTACTTTCAAAAAGGCAAAAATCACGTTGAGTTTGTTTATAGGCCTAGTACAAGCACACAAAATAGAGAAGAGTTAAATGTCTCAATTGAAACTCCTAATATCTCATCCGCTCAAGAGAAAGTAGTTTCCGATGCACTTGTAATTGAGCGGGATTTGGGATATCTCTTAATATCTCCTAATACATTTTAGTTTCAAATATTGTAAGTACTGTTTAATAATATTATTATGAATTTTAATGGATTTTAATCATTATGTTCATACTATTTACGCCCCTGTCTGCAGACAGAAGTTAAAAGTCGGACAGCGATTAGTTTACTTCCTTTTCTGGTAAATATTATGGACAAAGATGGAAAATTTCGATGCGTAGAGTGTGGATCATCGGTTAACTCTCTCTACATCCAATACTCTCCCGGCAACATACGTCTCATGAAATGCATACTGTCCTTTCTCC